TAGAAAACTTAGAGAAGGAACATGGAGAAAAGTGGACGTACTGCTGCACAAGAAGACGGCTGGTACATGCAAGAAAGATTAGGGTGTTTTTAGAGGAAGAAACTGGATATGCAGGAGAATCTGTGATTATTGTGGAATGGTGTAGCACAAGGGACAAAAATGACACTGGTTAATCCAAGCATGGAGAACTTTTCTTAAAAGGGATTTAACCTGTATAATTCTGGGAAGACCAATTCAATGACACAAATTGGTGGATATTAAGAATATATTAACATTACTTGACTTCTGAGGTAAATAGGTAAAAATTATTCCTTTCAAAGAAAAATGGATTTTTCACTTAGGTCTGCTCCTATTCAATATGATTTTATAAAATTCTGTTCTTAAAAGAAAGGTACTTAAATTACATTTAAGTTTATGAATATCTGTGCTAAAGGATAAACCTACTATCAATTAGTGATGTCATTTACATAAATAAAAAAATAAATATGATGTTCACAAACCCTTCTCAATTCTCCTTATTTTTATGAATTAAAGGTATGTCAAGGCAAGGGAAAATATCTAATTTTAGGTCAATGTGATGGCAGGTACTGAATACACTAAATACTTTATTTTCTGCTATTACAGTATTATTTAATCTATTTTATTGTAAGTATATAGGGAAGAAATTTTTTTCTTTAATTACTTTTGATCTCAATTTCAATAGTGAACACAAAGAAAACTTTTTTTGTTTGAGTTTGCTAAGCTGAAAACATCATTTTTCTCTTCCAGTACACCAATACAAAGTAAGGTGGACAAGTAGGAAACCTTATGTAAAAGAGAAAGAAAAGGCTCTACAAAGCTATTTTTAACATATGTAGGTACTTAAAACACAGAATTATATCCAAGTGACATTTTCAGACATACATAAGCATACACAAAAGCAATTATGTGATTTCCCATAGCATGACAATTATTATAGTATATGAATTATTATATTTCATATATGATTATATGAAAATCCCATCAGACACAATCTATATGATTAAATATATAAATATTTTTGAAAACTTGGCCTATTGTTTTCAGAAACTGTATTAAGCATAGTTTAAAATTGTTTTCTGTAATAAAGCATTCCTTTAACATTCAAATATATTTGATACATTTTATTGTGTATGTGTGTCCTTCGTTTTCATACTCAGGAAAAAAACTTAAAATTTTGCTATATGTTTTGAGATGCACTCCAGTTTCTAGCCCACATAAGTGAAAACACAAGTAATTAAAAAAAAAAGTAATTAATTTTTAACCATTTTCTACCACAAAACAAATTTAAGAATCTAAATAAATATATTTTAAACTGGACAAACCCTTACACAATTGTTTTAATATATTGCATATCAACCTGACAAGCAAAAAGAAGAAATCTTTATGCTGCTTGCAAATCTATTTATTTTAAAGATTATTCCAGCTGATGAAAATGACCCTTTCTTTCTGAAGTAAAATACAAATGCAAAATCAGATTAGCATCAATTATCTAAATCAGCAATACTTACTTGCTGATTTAAATCACAATGAAAATGAAGGATTTAAATCCGTTTGATTCAAAGAAATCTGTCTTATGAGTAATTGATTAAACAGTGTTAATGATCAATACATGTGATATTTTTCATTCAAATGTCATTGATTTCAAGAGGAATATGTAAGTTACTAATCTTTGCTTCTCAGATATCATTCCCTGCATAATTTGGTTTTGAGCCACAGGTAGACTCAACTTATGTTAACTTTGGTTGCATAAAACCCTTGATTACTAAAACAGTGAATGTATTCTCTAAAGTTAAATTAAAGATAAGGTCTTACATACCTTCCCTAAGTGTTACAACAGTTGAAGGTGTGGAAAGACTCACACCGGACAACAACTTTCCCCACGGAGGAGGATGCTGACATTGGTTTGTCCTCCAGCTTCTCATTACCTGGTGGTACCTTTTGCCAGACGAATCCACTAAATTCTGACAGCTAAGCAGTATGCATAAGCATTCCCCAATGCATGCCATTAAGATGAATGTAGTTATTGTGGAACAATTTAAGTGCTTTAATTAGTGTCTCTTGATTAACCTGGTTGGTATGAGAGAAACAGTTTAGGAGCCAGAGCAGAATGTGGGTATAAACTTTGCCACTAGCACAGGTAGATGTAAAAAAAGGATGTTTGTCTACACCAAGGGACTCCAGACCTTCAGGGTTAATCACATCCTCATTCTAGAGCAAATCAGCAAACGTATTTTAAAACAAAAACCAGCTGATAGCGTATCATGTCTCAAGTATTTCAACCACAAATTTCCAAAGCATTCTAGTTTTTTGTGCAGCTTTACCTATCTCTTTATAACATTTAGTTCCCAGTCCAAAAACCAGAAGTAGTAGCGTATCATGTCTCAAGTATTTCAACCACAATTTTCCAAAGCATTCTAGTTTGTTGTGCAGCTTTACCTATCGCTTTGTAACATTTAGTTCCCAGTCCAAAAACCAGAAGTAAAAAGCTTACTGTATCTGGGATAGATTGTTTTTTTCAATTTAAATAGTGGCTTCAGCTTTGGTAATTGAGTTTACTTGAAAACTAAAGAAACTGGTCTCAAGATTGCAATAACCTTACCCTGATGCTGTATTTGTTGCATTTAGGAGATCTACTTCCCCTTGCTCTGAAGCTATT